ATATCAAATCTCTTTGATGCACAGCAAATGTCCGTGGGTTTTAGAATCCACACAAGTGCACAATATAGCAAAGTGGTTTGATCCTTGGGTTATTAACTCTTTTAACACCTGGACTTCAAGAGAACAAACTCAGCACACAGTGGATTTCAGCAGAACAAAGCCCATTGCTTTGTGTCTGTCCCTCCTGCTCTCCATATCCAGAAGCAAAGCATGGAGAAGAAGGGTTCCATCCAATCAGCTCAAACCTACTGCTTTTTCCCCTCTGTACCAGCAGTCTTTTGTGCAGGCATATGCAATGAAGGAGATCTGTCTGCTACAAAGAACTAGTGTTATAAATGTAGCTAATTTTTTGTCTATGAGTTTGAGTATAATGACCAACAATGCACTGAATTAAAAAGAATCTTTTTCTTTTTTTTAATTTCTAAGATTTGGACATCTGTCCATTATTTAAACTTCATATAAAGCCTTTATTTTAAATGGAAAACAACAGGAAGAATATGGGGGAACATTAAAACAAGAAAAATCTACAAAACCCAGAACATTATTAGAAAGTGTAAGTTTTGCATAAACATCCAGAAACACAAACATCTAAATCTAACATCTGTTTCACTTGAAGCAGAATGTGAAAAGAATGGTGAGGGACTGAGGGGACAATTGAAATCGTTAGGGAACTCTAATGTTAGCTGTTCTGCAGGCCTAAAGTGTATTTCCCCAAAATAATGCCAAACAGACTTGCTTAGAAAACAGACACAGATGTTGCGTTATTTTTATTTCTTAAAATATAATACACTTTATAGCATATAATGAATTTTTAAATACTTACTGATTTAGAATTCTGAGCAGCATTGAAATAGTCTTTAAACGAGGATTAAAAAAAGAAAGAGTATTTATGGGCAGGCCAAGATTCTTCCTGCAGTGGGAATCCTGGGGAGAATCCCCTGCCTGAGAAAAAATGACAAGAGAAAAGTTTCTGTCCCTACACTGTATGGTAGTAGCACAGCACCATTAGCAATGAGGAAATAGTCTCCTTCCCACTGACTTCAGGGGCAAGTACCTTTGGTGGGACCAGGACCAGATCCTGGACATCGTTTATTCTTAGACTGACCACCTAAACAAATAAATGAAAAGGACTTTATACCTGTGCATTTATTTGAACAGCTACTGGAACTGAGAAACCTCAGAGTGAGACAGAAAGGAAACAAGAGGGGATTCCCAGCTGCAGACCATGGTGTGTCTCTGAAGAGGCGGTCTTGCTTTTCCTCCAGTATTGTTGTCAGCCCAACAACACTCATATGCGTAGTTAGGTAGTAGTAAATTTGTATCAGTTGCCTCAACCTATATGTGTGTACATATTTTTTTTCTTTTTTTTTTTTTGTTTTGTTTTTTGTTGGTTTCCCCACCCCCACCCTACTCCCCCGCCCAGTCTTCTTTCCTGATTCTCTGCCTTTCCTGCCAGACACCAGTCTTCTTCCTGTGTCTGAGCCACAACCTATGGCCATCCTGGTCAAAACTTTTACACATCAAGAATGCTCAGTCACTGCCAGCCTAAACTAAATTTTCTCCCTGTTCCAAGGTTTCAGTCAGGTGTAAGAGAACAGGTAACTTAACTTTCTACTGAGCAGCTTCAGAGGAACATAACCCATGAAAAAACAATATAAATGAAGCACAGCTTATACTGCCCAATTAATTTTCCCTGGAAACTGTTTATCAGGAAATCATGACCCTTGATCTTTAGTCTTGGTTAACTTTCATGCGATATTTCCCCACATCTCTATCTTAAGTCAGTGGAAGCAACTCCTTCGTGTAGTACTATACAACAACTGTAGAGAACACTGCAAAGTTATGCTGACTTTCATACTACATCTCCATCTTATTGAAAGAGATGTTTGGTTAAGTTGCAAAAATTTCTTGTCATCCTTTGGAAATGAAAAACGATGGTATTACTTACTGCTCAAGGTTTTATAGACTTTTAAATTTTTTTTAATTAATTTGCAGTAAGTTTAACTAAAATAAAACCAGAATGCAGTTCTAGGGGTTCTAGCAGCTTCAATTATTTTGGTTCCACTTTAAATTATAAAATCATTTAGGTTGGAAAAGACCTTTAATATCATTGAGTCCAACCCAGCACTGCCAAGTCCACCACTAAACCATATCCCTAAGTGCCACACTTACATCTTCTAAATACCTCCAGGGTAGGTTTTTCAAAGACTGCCCTGGGCAACCTGTCCCAATGCTTGATAACCCTTTTAGGAACTTCAATCTCTCTCTCAGAACTAGCCCAGAGGGCTGGCTCCAGTTTATTCTTTGCTGTCTGCTCTAGTGTACTAAAGGAGTGTGAACGAACAAGACAAAAGAAAGCTATTGTGTTGCCTTGTCCTGCTGAGGCGTTCCATGTCAGGTGGAGTCCTCCAGAAGAAGGGGAGGTTTGTGTGTCTCCCCAACACTGATGAAGACTAGCTCCTCCAATCAGAAACTCTAGAACATAAAATGAAACAAGTTTGAACAGCTTTAGAAAGAAGGGAGCTACCACCAGAAAGGAGGCTGGTGGAGTTCTGACGGGTTTCAGTAAAACCTCTGAGATAACAGAAAGAGTGAGATTTTTTCTAAGAAGGACCTAAGAGGGACTATGTGGGAGAACTGTAAAATGATCAAACTTATATATTAAAAAAAAAAAATCTCAAATCATTAAACTAAATAGGTATTTAAAAATTTTTAGATGCAAGAATAATTATAGTAAAAATATCATTTATTATAAACAAATACATAATATGTCTTCCTTGTTGCTGTTAAGAATCTGATTTCAAATGAGGCCACTACTTTCACCAAACAGATGGACAATTGCACACACACAGATATATAGGGACATCTAGTTCTTAATATTACCTTTATCTTCAGCTAATCATCAGAGAAAGACCCAATTTGTTGGCAGAGATAAAAAAGGAGTCAGCCAATCTGTGCAAAGAAGCATCATCATTATCATTTAAGAAGATCAAACATCATTACTGATGGTAACCATGGCTTAAGTTACTGTAGTCTTATGACTGGCCACCATGCTAGCAAACACTAAATTAGATCCTCTTTACTGTGTCTCTGGATAAGTCAGAGTGAATTATTAAAAACCCAAATTCAGAACTGTTACCTAAACTTCCAATTTTGTGCACAGTTGAACAGCATGTTTCCTATATACTTTGAAATAGGTAACCACTTCTGACCTCTGAAATTATTTGCATAATAAGCAAAATGTAATGCAATGTTACAGTTATTAATGGTCCATGTTTTAAGCTATAATTGCATTTGCCTGAAACTCTTAATTAATGAACATGTAATTAAAGATTAAAATAATGAACATGATAATTGGGAATGAATCTTTACCTACCTTGTCTGAGTTGAAGTGAGACTTCCACAGTTTGCAATGAATGTAACAGCCTAACTACAATTGAATTAATTTATTATACTCCTTAAAGGATGTCCAGGCCCACTACATGAATCAAGATTCAGAAAAGTCATGCAACTTCAGAATGTCACTTTGGGAGCTGTATTGTAATTAGGAAAGAAAATGGAGAAATACGGCTCTAGAAATCTGCCTATGAGTTAGCAAAACAACAACAGAAAAAATCATGTTGTTCTGAAAGCTCAAAAATAGTTGATGCAGAGTGATAAATTAACCACTTTAGATAGTATTCATCAATGTTACGCAAAATAAACTTGGTCTAAGACCTTCAACCGCTATTTTGTTAATCCTGTTTAAATCAGTATTACAAAAAAATAGCTAGTGAAAATAACAAGGGGATGAGGTCTCTTCTGACTTGAATTATCCTATGATCCCATTTGAGATTATAATACATACATACATACAATTTCTGCAACAAAATATCAGTAAACAATAAACGTTTACTAAAAGGCTCAGAAAGAAGGATAGCAATGGGTTATCTGTTCTAATTTTTAATAAATCCCTGCCTTGCAGATGAGAATTAAAAAAACAAAACAAGTCCCAGAAAGCCTGATAAAACAACATGGAAAAGATATTAGTTTTCTAACACATGCACACTTCTACAACCCTAGAACATACAGCACAGAATAAAATTCAGTCAAGAAATTTGTCTCTTTGATAGATGTGTACTTTCAACAGTTTAACAAATCAAAACCAACAAGTATGCAGTGAGTCGAGACTTTATGCTAGAGAAACTGCAGTCCTGTGACTGTTTCTGGTTTTTCTAATCTTTAGTCTCTTTAGCATCTCTTTGCTCTTTAGCATTTTACTGCAAGATTTTTTGTTGCTCTGTCCCACCCCTATTTGCATTTTAAAGCTATCTGTGCTTTAATATTTCCCATTTTGCACTCTTCCTTGTATACTTTTGCACTCTTCCTTGTATATTGAAGACAAATAAAACTTTTTTTTTGCATACATCTCTTACAGGATTTCCTGGGTTCATTAAACATACTGTGTTTCCACTGCTGAAAATAACAAGGATTAAGTAATGCACTTCAAATTTTATTCCTATTTGATTATGATATTCCCAGTCTCTGCAAAAGAAGCTCACACAATGTAGATTTAAAGAACAATTAAGTGTCTGTTGTCTGAACTTTTAAGTTTTCCTTTCTACAGAGTTGAGTATTTGCTTTGGTTTTAAAAGCTCTTCACAGAATTTTCAGAGTGGTGTAGAAGTACATTGCTGTGAGTTATTAGAAAAAGCTTTAGAAAACTCTTCAGTTATGGCCAGCCATCTCATGATCACTTCTGCTGCTCATTCCAAGCACAGTTTCTCTCTGTACAAGTGAGACTGGCTGAAAATTCAGAAATATCCCTGAAATTTGAAGATCTGTCTGTAAATTGACACTTGTGCAGCACTTGATCATTGTACTCTCCTTTCTTTCACACCTTTTATATTTTTCTTTAAGTTCATCAGTCTGATTCTCTCTCACACTCATGAACAGATCTGCAAACATCATCTGTATCATTTCTATCAAGGCACTATCCAATTCACAAAATTTTTCTTTAGTTTTACAGGCATTATGAGCTCCTGACACCTCTCTGCCAAGTCTGAACTTTCTTGAATGCATCATGGGCAGGTACTGGAAGCAGAGAATGTGGCTTTGTCTCTATATTAAAGCAAGGTACAATGCTTTCATATACACTGTTGATACAAGCATTGTTGCCTTAATGTAGCAATATTTAAAAATTCTAACAATTTTGCTCTTTGTCTCATATTCAAAGTTTTAATGTCAAAGTTTATGGGTGGCTAGTACTATGCGACAGATTACCTATAAGGTTGCAAACCATGTCTGTTCCTGGCCTGTCCTCCCATGACAATTTCTGCCATTGCTTCCAAGCACGGTGCTCCTTGCTTCTTGTTGGCTATATCTTCCAGGTCAATTCATGAAAAAAGTATTTTTCAACATATTTTTTTAGAAACATATAATTGATTTTTATTTTATTCATATAACAAAACCAGACATACTTGCTTCTGAAGGGAGAGATGTCACCAGTGATGGGACTTACTCTCTCTTCTGAAATAGGTAGTGAGATAAACTCAGTATGCATGTATCAGGGACCTGCTTTCTTTAGCAAGAGGATTTTGGGAAAATGTTAAAAAAGTCTCCAAACACTACACGAATAAAAACTTCTATGTGCCTTTCTAGTGGAGCAATGATGTGCTCTATTGGCACATCTATGGATTATTCTGAGCCCAAAAGAGAGTGCATTAATTTTGGGACTGATACATTGGTCTCCTATGCTTATACAGGTTCTGTGATATTGTCCCTCTTCAGTGAATACACAGAAGACTTGATTCTTCTGAACTTCATTCAAGCACCACTTGCAAGATTGTTTTGCATTAAAATTATATGTTAGGGAGAAGATGAGCTCTGTAATCAGTGCCTCTATGTGATACTGACATTATATCAGGCCTCTTTCTTCATCACAACATACACAAATCACAGCAGTTTCTTAAAAAAAATGAAAACAAGGGGAAAAAAAGGCAATCTAACAGGTTCTAACCCCCTTCCTTTAGGAACCTGTGCCTTTGCCACAGGCCAGCTCTGGGGTGGCCCAGGCGTGGAACCTGAGATCACTGAGAGTGTTGCTGTGTTAAAGAAAACAAGGAGCAGCCCTGTGGGCTGGGGGTGATCCTAATGATTGTCATTGGACTTGCTCTGGAATTCTTGTTCAGATACTGTAGGATTTTCCCTCTGTCCTAAAAGGACACTGCCTCAGCCTGCCTTGCTGGCAAGCTGTCTCCCCTTGCAAAGCAGCCTACTCTTATGTCTCCATATACCAGCTTTTTCCAGAGGTGCTGACTCAGAAACATTTATCATTTCAGGCCAGAAAACCTTTTAAGTAAGCAGAAGAGGAGGCATGCATTGTCAATTAAGCTCTAAATTTCTTTTTCTAGAGAAGAATATTGGTTTTTAAAAAAGACCTCTTCAAAGCTTTTCCATTATACTTGATGATTCAGCTCAGGAGCACTGAGTAATGCACACTATATTGTGCATCTCAGAAACTGTTTAGAAACAGATTGCATATATGAAATATGGGGGTTTTATTCCACCTGTATTGATATAATTGCCTCTGGTCCATTGATTTAATTTTAAAAATCCATTAGAATTGATTTTATAGTTATATAAGCCATGAATACAGAAGAATATCTACCTTAATTTGTTTGCTTATGAAAGTGATACCACTGGTATTGCTATTGATGATCATCAAGCTATCAGTATTATGAGATATCAGAATCAGCACATCCTCTTAAACAACTAGAGAGCTGTCTGTATGACTCCTTTTACAAGAAAATGACATGTAGAGATGAGTTTAAAATGTGTTTCTTACTTCACTTGCCTAGAGCAACACCTTTGCTTGTTTATCTTGCATGACCTTTTTCCACATGTAATTGCATGATTTCCATAAAGTCAATGACAATTATTAACATCAAAATATGTCACTGTACACTAACCCAAAGGAATACGGAGCAATACCTGAAGTGCTGAGTTATATTCTCTGATGTTACATATACCTATGTAATAGGAAGTTTGATAGGACCCACAGAAGACCTATTCATTTAACTTCTATTTGTGACAAGATACTTTTGACAGACTATAACAAATTTCTGCAATGAAAGACCATATAGCATTATGGTCTGAGAGGGAGAGATCAGGGATATCCTCAGTATCATTAGGTGACTTGCACAATTAATACATGAAATGTGTTCTATTTTATTAATAATTTTTTGTGCCCTCACACTATCACTAGTGTCAGAATACAAGCATAAATTGCCTCGTTTTGCATGCATACTTCGGAATTAGCTTAGATCAGTTTGTGGAACTGAACTAAGGAGTGATTTGAAGGTCTCTTGACAAGGGCTAATGATAAATGGTAATGCACTCAGTTTTGAGAAGCTGAAAGGGGGTATATTTCCAGTATTCATGTTAAATTTAGTTTTGACATCTTCATTTACATTCTGCAAAGGGGAATAGAAAACACGTTAATGAAACTGTCACATAAACTGGGAAATGTTGCAATAAAGACAGAGAAATGGCACAAAGAGAAAAAAGGATTTGAAACAGAAAATAAAATGTGTTCAGAAATTTGCAGACCAGAACAAATAGGAATTTAATATTCCCTTCAATGCATCCAAGGAAAACTTCAGCAGAAGAAAACAAAAAACACCAATTGCCAAGAGAGCTTTAGATACTGAGTTATATAATACTAATGATGATTGACTTTTTTTTTGCTTAGGGAAATATGGAAATATCTATTCATCTGTGGCCATTCATCACTGTGTGTTTGGATCACACAGTGATCCTGTCCTCACATAGCAGGAAAACAATATTTTTGTCTTAGAGTCATCATTAAATGTGACCAATTTCTCAAACATATTGTTATATCCAAGAAAGACATTGACATAGTAAATTGTGATGATTGACTGATGAGGAATACTAAAATAATCAAAGGTCTTTAGTTTAGGTAATTAATTTTATGGGAGGTCATCAGAGAAGTCTGAAAATGTCCACTGAGGAATTTTAAGGAAGAAGGATGTTCCAGTTTCTGCAAGTAGGCAAACACAACAGGGAGTAAAAACAATAAAATTGTGAAAAAGAAAATTCAGAACCAACACAGTTCTTTCCAAAAGTGAGGACTATTGAACTTTGGGAATTGTCTCTCAATGAAAAGTAATGAAGTTTCCATTACTCTGGCCAACTTGCATTAGTCGAGCCAGTCCGATTTTACAATAGGGAATAATTCCAATGGCAGGGAGATGGACTAGATGACTCTAAACACTTTTTCTATCCCTAGTTTTTACAGCACAAAGGATATAATCTTGAAATACAAATTGCAATGGGAAATGTGTTCTTCCTAATGATTACAGATAAAGGCAATTTTCAGACAGCATCCTCTCCCTTTTATGTCTCTGCTCTAACTGCACATTATCACATAGGTTTTTAAGATAAACTATTAACATACACTTTAAAGGAAAAAATAATGCAGGGAAAAGGGCACTAAAAAGAGTCACACTTTGCCTAAAACTACAAAATAATTTTGCATTGGCAAAACCAACATATTTCTTTTCATTTAAAACAGTTATAGACGGTGCAAGTGAAAATTGCATATATCCTATGCAAATTCAAAGGAGCATACAGAAAATGAAAGAAGCGGGGAAAAAAAAAAGGAAGAAAAAAGAAAAAAATAATGCACTCAATCATAAATTTAATTTGGTTAGTGATACAATACACCTAAAATCTCTATATTTTGAAGTTTTTAATTCAACTTTTTTTTTTCACTAACAAGTATTACACCATACTGGGAGAGCATTGAATACATTTTGGGTTGTGAGGAGATAAATACATTTATTTCACTTTTGCAAAGCTGTGTTTCTTTCTTTCTTTCTAATGCACAGACTTGCTACAACACAGGGCAATGAGAAAGGTACATTGCCTTTAAGTCTGGGACTGAAAATAATGCCTATATTTTGTGACTAGGAGCCACGTTGAGGTCACATTAGATCACAAATAATCTGCAGTGAAATCCAGTAGGTTTTTCAGTCTACTTTGATGCACCTTTTGTATCCTTATGCTTGTCTGCATATATATATGTATAAAGTGCACATATGTGTGTATGAATAATAATTCAACCATAATATGTAGAAAATGTATTTAATCACATATAATAAATGTGTATGTCATATATATGGCTGAAATCTACTAATAGTTTGACACAAATTAACTAATTTGGTATCACTGTATATTAATGCAGAATCTCTGCCAATATTATCACCGATTTCCATAATAAATTCCTTTCTTTTCATTAGCTCAGTTATTGAAGAATAGGCTTGGAAATATGATTGCACATACAAAACCATGACAGCAAAGGCATCCAGATAGAAAGCATTCCACATGATGGGTCTTACCATGTCAAACACATTCCTCAGCCATGTTTTATGACTTTGTTCTGATCTGTTACAAAAACATTTCTTGTTTTTTGAGCTTGTTGAAAAGGGGGGCTCACATGCAAGTCTAGGTGCAAATGCTGGTTTTATATTTAAGTAGTGCAATAAAGAAGTAAGATTTGGCATTAGTCCTTTAAGCTCCAACAGTCAAAAGGCACATCAACATATGGCAAGTACAGCTATATTCCCATTAAAATATGCATTTATGACCATTCACTTTGGCTATGATGATAAATATGGAAAAAAATGCGCAAACATAAAGAAGCTGCTCAGCTTGCAGAAGGTGACAATGAGTTTTGTACTCTCATTGGCTGTTTCACAGGTTATTCTTTTATCTGAAGAAGACAAAAGGATATCAGGTCAATGGAAGAATGATAAATAAGGAACAATTAATCCACCTTAATGCAAAAGGTTTAACTTGCAGCCTTTTCAAGTTCCTTTATCTTTTAAGCTTTTCTGAAGCTTCATCAGATCTTCCATCCATATAAGGATATGATTCAGCTTACTGCTCTTACCATCAGTTTCTTGATCCCTCTTGGACTAATCTTTGGAAAATGTCTGCTGACATTATCGAACAGAATGTGTGACATTGAAGAGATAAACAGAAAAAAGTAGTAGTGACTAAAGTAATTAAAAAAATTGGAGGCACACCCCCTGTTAAAATCATGTTAAGAAAAAAAAATTGATGAGGCAATGAGAAAACCACAGACCACCATGCACGGTGTCATTGTTACTTCTAGACAGCTTGAGTCATAAGTTATTAAAATGTCTGTAACTATCCTTTACAACTGTAATGAAACAGAAATATGCTGCAGTAGGTAGCTTCTGGCACAAACTCTCTGCTCAGAACACCTATAAATCTACATGCTTCACTCATGCATAAGGATGCAGAGGCCTAACAAATAAGTAAAAAGAGCATTACGGAAAGCATTTCCATCCTCAGGATTATGCAATATTTATTTATTATTATTTATGAAGACTACAATGTAAGCCATTATGAAAAAGACAAGTAGATTATTTTTGCTAAAGGCACAATGTGCAAAAGCATCTCAAGTTCTTCAGCTTGCCAAGGTGTAATCTACTTGCCAAGTAGATGATCTATCTATATATAAGAAAGCAAGTATTTGATCATTACTCAAGTCTCACTAGGCTATCTACAAAATTATGGTTTTGTAACAGATTTGTCTAAAACCACACAAATACTATCAGAATTAATAACTTCAAACTGACCAAAGCCAGGAATATTAAGTTGGATTCACCGTGGTGAAGATGATTGATCACAATTTTTGCTGTATTAATGCTGAATGATCAGAGACAAAATTTAGCAACAATACAGAATATATACAACTGTCCGAGTTCCATTTTAATTTGTAGTCTCCTGTTTTAGAGAAGAGATTTCTGTTAGCTAATACAGGTCTAGAAAAAGTAGCCCCTTATTGTGCAGACAATGAACTATAGCAGTTAAAAACTAAGTCCTTTGTACACAAGACTGTATTAATCATATTAAAATATTTCCTTTTTATTTTTTCTTGTAGACATTCTCTGTAAAAACAACTTTCTGTAACGATTTGAAATTGACTGGTCTGTAGAGATCATGCACTGGTGGAGTTCACAGTCCTGAGGGATATGGGTCAGGCAAAGAGTAAAGTCAGGACCCTGAATTTTGGGAAAACAAACTTCCAGCTCTTCAAGGAGTTAGTCAATAGACTAATAGGTAAACTGCCCTCAGAGACAAGGGAGAAGAACAAAATTTTAAGGATATGTTCTACGGAGCACTAGCAATCCCAAGATGTAATGAATCGGGAAGGGAAGGCAAGAGACCAGCATGACTGAGTGGAGACCTGCTGTTAAAACTAAAAGGCAAGAAGGAAATGCACAGGCAGTGGCGGCAGGCACAGGTATCCTGGGAAGACTGTAGGGATTCTATCTAGTTTTGTAGGGATGAGGAAATAAGGCCAAGGCATGAACGGAGCTGAATTTGACAAGGAATGCAAAAAATACTAAAGGCTTCTACAGGTATGTCAGGCAAAAAAAGGAAGACTAAAGAAAGCGTACCCTCCTTGATAAACAAGTTTGGCAAACTAGTAACAAGGGACAAGAAGGCTGAGGTACTCTGCAATGGTTTTGCCTAATTCTTCACTGACAACCTCTCTTCCCACAACCCTCGGGTGGAGGAACAAATTCTCTCCCGCTGTGAGAGAAAATCAGGTTTGTGAGCACTTGAGGAACCTGAATATATATAAAGATATTGGACCAGATGAGGTGCATTACAGAGTCCTGAAGGAATTGGATGATGTTGTTGTCAAGCAACTCTCCATGATATTTGAAAAGTCATGGCAGTCAGATGAATGTGACCTGCCAGCCTCACCTCTGTGCCTGGGAAGATCATAGGACAGATCCTCCTGGAGGCTATGCTAAGGCACATGAAGGATGAGGACATAATTCAAGATAACCTGCATGGTTTCACCAAGAGAGAGTCCTGCCTGACCTATCTATTGGCCTTCTACGGCAGAGTGACTACATTGGTGCACAAGGGAAAAGCTATGGATGTCGTCAACCATTCTGATTGTATTCTGATTTTCGTGGGATTTCCACCAGCTTCGTCAAATGAGAAAGGAGATGTGACATGTTCTTCCAGGTCCAGACCATAGAGCTGCAGAACTTAATGAATATACATATGAAACTTAAAGCCCTTTAACCTAGCTTAGATAAACCAGTCTACTTTTATCGTAAGAGAACAATACTGAGGATCAAAGCTGCAATGCACAGTGTGGATCTGCTTCTCTTCTTCATTAATACTAATTCAGTTTTGAGTTCCTGCCAATTCCTCTTTGAACTCTTACCTTTACTATGATGTCTGCAGACAGGAGTCAGAACAGAGGCAAGAGCAGATCTGCTGGAGTTTCTTTCAGCATGAAAACCACCCTTAATTTTATTTACTGTAATTTCAAAGGCACAATTTAACATTCTAGAGGTTAGCACAATCCATCTATACAGAACTTTCATTCAAAGTTGTCATATTATAATGATAATATTACTAACCTATAATTAATAAAATGACAATCACTCAGCAGTATACTAGCTGATGTTTTCTCTTGCGTATATATTCCTTGCTTGCTCATTGCTTTCTAGAGCTTTCTTGGAACTACCCTTTCATTACCAATTTTTCTCTGATTTTGCATATCATTTTAGTCAAGCAAGTAGAAAAATGTAATTTAGAAAAAAATCCTGGTAAATATTCAGTGGAGGAAGATATGATCACTGTCAGCAGAATCAATTCATATCTATAAAATATCTAATGTCATTTTCATTTAATTTGAATTTTCTATTATTTTTAAGTTGTAAATAAAGAATCTCACTGCATTAAAAAATAATTTTGAAATTACAGCGTAACTTTTTCATTAAAAAAGGCTGGGTTTTCTTTTCTGCCTGAAATAGATTTTGTAAAAAGCGCTACAATCCTGTAGAAGATATAATTTCAAAGACTCAGAATTTGTAAAATTTTTAACACTCAGTTCTTTAATGTTTTAATCACTTCTTCTCTTGACTCCTTTCCTCAGTAACTGATCCAGACAAAATTTTCCTCTCACTGAGCTGCTTGACCATTCAGATACAACCCAAACCAAAAGGAATCTACCCAGTTGTTCTGCTCAACTAACACATACACTGTTGTGATAAGAGCAGACCTGACAATGTTTTGCCTGGCCAGATCTTGCCATTTCACTGAGTTTCATTTCCTATTAAGGCTTCATTAAGCTTCTTTCTTACAGTCGCGTGGTTCATCTTTCCAGTAGTCCTAACCAGAAAACCTCTAAGAATATCATATGCCTCATCACCCATGCAACAAATGAGGATGTTTACTTTCTCCTCATAAGAGAGTGCCTCTGATTATTTCTGCAATGAAAATCTCCAGTGCTGTAGTGACTTAGTGAAATGAAAGGATGATGTTTAAAAACACTTAATATTACATTTCCACTGCAAGAAGATCTTTATTTTGTCAGTATAAAAACAGTCATAAAAGTATATAGCTGAACATATTATTTAAGAGAATAAATTTCTCATTTTGATTTCATATAATGATTCTACATAATCTGACAGCAAGTCAGCCTTCTACCAAAACCAGACAAGATAAGCCAGCCAGCTGACAATCTCCATGCTGACTCCTTTTCAGCCTGCAGTCTGAAGCCTATCCTTGGACTTGATAGACAAAACACTATTACATTTTCTGTGGATTGCTTTTTTGCCTGTAAGGTACTTAAGAGGAATGTTGCACTGAATTGTTCAGATGGCTGCAGTAATCGTCGAAAGACAGTAGCATTTGAAAGTACAGCTAAGAGAGAAAACATTAATCTCAAATCAGGTGAAAGACTTGAGATTGCCTGGTTTAACACTTGAACTGGCTATTCTCTCCAGAACATTTCAGGTTTGCATCAAATTATGTTTGCAGTTAGTAGTCCTGCTGAAGTAGAAAAATATACCCAGAATGGTAAGAAGTTAGATGTAATGACAGTATAGAAAAAAGTAAATATTAAGTCTTGCAGAAATCTAGCCTGTTGAAAAATAAATACAAATTAATCTACAGGGTGTTAGTGTGGTTGTGAACATAAAAGCACATTAGTGCTTAATTAAACTGGTTTGCATCTTTTTTGTGCAAGTTTGGAGCTGGCTTCCCACCAAGTCTCTGAAACTTGACAACAGAGCCTGCTTCCCAAAGAGGGAAGGGAAAAAAAACCAAACAGCCAAAGCTGTTGGTTTACGTATATAAAACAGATATATACAGTGAGAATACTATATACATATAACCCCAGAAACCCCAAATAGCTTCCTAAAAGGGAAGAGGGGAAGGGAGAATGGGAAAAGGACAAAAAAAGGATGCAAAGGGACAGAAACAAAACAGGTCTACACAATCTAAAAACCCAGTAACCAGCAAACTAAAGAACGGGCAAAATCTCACCACTTCCCTTGAGAGAACCAGGACGGCTGAACGCAGTCCAGCACTCTCCCCTCACACGTGGCAGACAACAGCAGTCACTGTAGGCCTCAGCTCCACATAAGTAAGATCGAGACAGGGACCCACCGTTCTCAAACCTCACCAGAAAGGGAGTGAGCTCTCTTATCTACGCCTTATTTATACCCCAGGTTATGTAAAGGAATAGCATGGAATACTTCCTTTGTCACTTTTCTAGTTCCTTCCTGGTCACAGGCTGGTCTCCAGGAAGGCCTAGGGTGAAAACTATCACATAGGTGCACTGACAGGGTGCACTGTGTACACCACTTCTGTGGCAAGGGAAGTAATTTGCCCAAGGAAAGTGATCATCAGTTCTGCACAGACACTGAAAGGGACATTTCTCAATAATGGTCTGAAGTGTCAGAAACTATCCTAATTTTGTGTATTGATTTAACCCTTATATCTACCATATTGCTTTGCTGTGATGTTCTTAACAAGTATTTATATACTAATAATACTCCCTTCTGTATTTTCTCCTTATATAAGAAGTTGAGAAAGCCAAATAATATTTTGAAAGTTTCTCAGGTCTTCCAATAGGGTTCCAAGAAACTCTATTGGCATAAGCATGTTAGCTTGAGAAAACAAGACTGTGAAATGTCTGTGTATAAAATTGTCATTGAATTTTCCCAGTGTATGTTAACCTTTCAGAAAACAGGTATATAATTTCATTTGTAGATTGAGCCTTTGTTATGCCAAACTGTAAAAATAGTTGTAACTCTATTATAAATAATGTGTTTGTGTTTGGTAGTTATTTTCAAGAGATCTCACCAAGCCATTATTTCAGAATCATATATTAAAAAAACCCAGCTTAATTAGAGTAATGCACTTCAATACAAGCCAGTGAATTGTATTTGGCACACAGTCTAAACTTCAACACTGATTAAGATGCTTGTTTGATGACATGCAACTGATCTTCTGTATTAAACTACAGTACCTTTACTGTGAGTATCGGACAATGAATTGGTAAATTTTTTTCTTATTTCAAATACTAGATGGTTATCCAATTTTAAAAGATTTTAAAAGAAAACCTTGTTTTGCTTATTGTGATTGCTGTGTTGTGCAGTGGCAGCGAATTCCTACTATACTTAAAGAAAATCTGTGTCCCAAAGCAAAATTGTTACTCAAATCTATTAATTGCAATGGTTTAGAGTGAACTGATGGCTGTAATACATTCAACTAGAATTCAGCAGAGCCCTTGAATTGATGATTTTTAACCTCATTCATGTTCTTTGCAATACGTTGTCGATGTACAAGTTCCATGGTTAAATGGCCATGATTAAATCTTTTTTTGGTTAGTAGTATGTATTTAACATGTATTTTCTTTAAAATTCCTCATCTTTTTCATGAGAAAGAGGATACAATACCCAGGTTCCTCTCATCTGTGCAATCACAAATTTCACTGGGATGAAAGGTAGGTTTCAGAAGACACAATTTATTGCAAAGAGCAGTTAACCAGATAAATAACTTCTTTTTCACTTGTGCAACAGTTCATAGAAACCTTCATTTTAAGGGCACTTTTCAGTGCACTGACAATTCTAGTGTCCAATATTCAAGAAATCAGTGGTTGAAAACTACTTAAGTGGTTGCAGTGTTTAGACTAGAAACTGTAGAAACTGTGTTCAAACTTATAGATCTATTTAGTGAACTCCAACTGGCTGCGGTACAGATACTGGAGACAGATGGATTTTTGCATCAGTATTGTCACCCTGGCTCTGGCTGACACTGCTTTAGTATTTACACTAAATTTATTTTGGCTTTCCTATGGTGTTTGTATTGTCAGGAATTAAATTGGATTTTTTTTTTACATAAATCATCTCTTGCATAAAGACCACCAAGCACTGAAAATATATTCTTGCAAATTTTATCATTCTTAAATAGTTATTAAAATCTGTTTGGGATCTCAGACTGTAGAGGGGTGCCTTTATCCTGAAAATTTTAGGAATGTAAAAATAGAAACTCATATATAAAGTTAGGAACTCATTAATCTCTCTGATTCTTCATTTTCCTGCAATTCTTTGAATACTTCTTTCAGTATTATAATGCTTGCAAGTGA